GGGGGGAGGGGTGAGATGGGGTGAAAATTTGGAACTCAAAAACTTGTGGAAGTGAATGTTGAAAACTAAAAATAAATAAATTTATATTAAAAAAATAAATATTTGAAGGCAACTGTTTAGTGTGATGGATTGTCTGGTGTTTGTATTCAGAGGATCTAGACAAAAATTCTACCTCTGACGTGCTACCCATGTGGCTTTTGGTAAACCACTTAACCTGGCTGTCCCCCAGTTGGTCAACTATAAAATGAAGAATTGGACCAGATAGTGTCTTAGGTGCCTTCTGGCTCTAGCCCAATGATTTTATGGTTCTATGATTCAGTGACGCTAGGACACAGGTTCAAATCCTGGCTTTGTAACTTAGTCCTTATGAGACCTGGGGTAAATGATTTAACCTCTCTGGGCCTGGGTTTCTGCACCTGACAAGTTAGTAGATTGAATTAAGTGGATTCTGTGGTTCTTTGAAGCTCTAATTTGTGATCTCATTCCCCTCTCCCTCCAAAAACATACCCCAAGTCTTCTCTTTTCTGAACTAAGCATTCTAAGGTCCTTTAACCAATTTCTATTTGATATGGATTCAAATCCATTTTGTCATACTGGTCACTGTCCAGAGGCTTTTCAATGTCCTCTCAAAGATGCAACACTCAGAGCTGAATGCAGGATTCCAGATGATTCAGGTTGGGAAACTTTTATTCACCAAAGGAAATAAACTGTCTCAACACTGAGAAATCTAATGGAGTATTCTTGATGCTGCTGTGGGGACCAGCCTGAAGATGTGTGTATTCAACAGCCAGTACACAGCTATCTAATTTCTTGGAACTCTGAATCACCATGGATTTTTTGGAAGTCATACTTTCTGATAGACACCATCCCTCTAAGAATTCCTGTAAGTATAGTTGTTCACTAAGTAGGCAGCTAGGTGGAGCAGTGGATAGAGCACTGGACCTGGAGTCAGAAAGACTCATCCTCCTTAGTCAAATCTGGTTTCAGACATTTAATAGCTGTGTGACCCTGGGCAAGTAACTTAACCTCAGTTTCCTCATCTGTCAAATGAGCTGTAAAATGCCAAGGCACTCTAGTATATTTGCCAAGAAAATCCCAAATGGGGTCACAAAGAGTTGGACATGACTGAAAAATGGTTAAACATGAACATATTCACTAATTACACTTCCTGAGTAAACAGCTGGAAGAGGCCTTAGAACACAGAATGTCAGGACTAGGAGAGATCTGAGAACAGAGAATATCATGACTGAGAGCAGCCTTAGAAGAGAGACAATGTCAAAGTTGGGAGGACCCTTACACAAAAGGATATCAGAGAAGAAATGGACTTTAGGATATAATATATCAGAGCTGGAAAGGACCCGTAGAACATTGAATGCCACATAGGTTTAATGATTTGTCCATCACCACAAAGCTCTCAAGAGGCATAAGTAGAATTGGACTCAGATATCCCTAATTCCAAGGCCAGCTTTCTATTCCTGGTCTCTCCCTAGCTCCAGATGACTAAGGATGCTACCTGACTAAGGTGACTTCCTGAATATCTGTGATGTATTGTCAAAAAACACCAGGTTTCTAAAGGAGAGCAGGTTGCTTATCAAATACATGTAAGGGGTCCAATCAAAAACTCAATTGCATTTTCAAACTGGGAACCCACCGTCCCCACTATGAAATCCAAACTCTTGTGTAGTGTAGAATGCTAAACTTAGTCTCTGGGTTCAAATCTTACTTCTGGTACTCATTAACATTGTGGCCACGGGCAAATCACTTAACATCTCTGAGCCTCATCAATAAAATGGGGATTTTATAGTTTTACTGGATTGTGTAAGACTCAAAAGATATAATACTTACAAAGTGTTTCATAAACAATAATGCCCTAGATAAGTATCAGGAATTCCAGTCTGGATGTGACTTCTCTTAGTTCTGGCTAGATGACTAGCTCATATACATCGGGTGCCCCCAGGGTCAGGAAGTCACATGAGATCTGTATCTTCGGTGGGGATATGCTATCTATAGCTAGACTAAGTGGTTTCCTGGAGATCTGCCCATAAAATTCTCATTGCAATATGTCCAATCATTCTTACTACTATTATTTTGAGAGCACGGTTTGTGTGCCTTGCTTTGGAAGACTTGAGTGGACTTTGCCAAGCCTACAGAAAGCCACTAACTGCACCGAACAGGGAGGGCTTCTCTGACTTCTCAGTAATAGAAGCATTTTAAAATACCCTCTGTCCATTTACCTCAACCTCAAAAAATGCCCTTAGAGCAAGAATCCCAAACTCCATGTAGTTGTAGTGGACTGCTGGACAGCACCAGTCATTGTCCATGGTCCTGACCAATTTATTGGCTTAACTTTGACCAGACGTTGGTATTCATAATTTCTCTGTGGAACACCCTCAGCCTTAGTGCTGTCTCACATCCTCGTGGCTTGTGAACCCATTAGCATTCAGTGATAAGGAATTCCCCACAACTCAGTGTGGCAGAGATAACGCCTCCCTGTAAGGGAGCAGGAAAGGCCTGGGATGTAGAAAACACAGCAAGTCTCTTGGGTCCTGGAGGGCCATCACACTACTACCTCATTATAGAATCCGCAACCTCCACCCCTGTAGCAACATCGCACTGTTTAGCATTTCAAAACAAGCTTTTGTTTAGAATTTCTTTTCCTGGGTCTTTGGTGGCTTCATTTACTGAATCAATTCCTGATTGCTCCCACCATGTGAAATAGGTTGGTGGGAACCTCCTGCAGTTAATGGGAGTAAATGTTCAATCCAACAAGGGCTGATCAACTGGTTATAGCTTTTCTAAAGGAGCTGAATTTGAAGTTGAAGGAAAGGGAATTGGAGAAGAGGAAATTCCTCCTCTGAGTTTCAATTTTCTTCTCTGTAGAAGGGAGTTTCAATGTTGACATTGTGTAAGTGCATGATGCTAAAGTCCCTTCCAGCTCTGTTCCTGGGCCTTGCCCAAACTCTTATGTCCTCTGTTCTAAGCCCCCTCCAAGCTCTGACAGTCTCTGTTCTAAGGCCCCTCCCAGCTCTAAATCCCATGATCTTCTGCTCTATGATTCTGAGACATAGCAATGGGGATTCTGGGGAAGGGCTTTGCTCTATGACATTTTCCAAGGCCGTTTTTCCTTGCCACGAGAGATTGTGTGCCTGTGCAGAATCACAGCACTTTACAGTCAGAAGGGAAAGCAGAGGACTTCTAAAGGCAACCTCTACCTGAACAAAAAGCTTCTCTGCAACCTGCCCCAGAAGTAGTCATCCCCTGGCTTCCATTTTAAGATCTCCAGTGAGGAAGACAGTGGATGCCTCAGTCCCCAAGGCAGCCCATCCTATTTGGGGACAGCTTTTATTGTTGGAAACTTGCAACTTTACAACATCACTCCAAGTTCTACCCTTTGGGGCTGCACACATCTCCTGAACTAATTTCCTCTCACGTGATAGCCCTTCAAATACTTATTCAGAGCTACTTTGTGTCCACATGAAGCTTTCTTTCCTCTAGGCTACACATTTTACTTTAATTGATCCAGATGTGGTCAGACCTTAGGCTCTCCACCATGTCTCTCCTAAAATGTAGCTCTCAGAATAGAACACAATACATTATATTTGCTCTGCCTCAGGGCTCAGGAGAGCAGGACTATTCTCTCCCCAGGGATGGACTAGCTTCTCTTAATGGATCTTAATGGATCATAAGATTACATTTGCTTCCTTGGCTTTCACCTTCAGCAGTGAGCATTTTCAAGTCTCTACCTTAACCCCTACTATGGCCTTTCCTCTGAGACAGCTTTTGCATTTACACCATGTACATTGTGTATGTATATAGTTGTTTGCATGTTTCCATTAGAATCTGGGCTCCTCAAAGCCACATTATTGTCTTTCTTTGCATCTCCAGTGCTTAGCACAGTGCCTGGCATATTGTGAATGTTTAATAGATGTTTGTTGACTGACTGATCAACTACACTGCTGACTCAGACTGAGGTTGCAGTCCATTCCCAGTTCTTTTTCAGGCAAGATATTTTTTGGTCCTGCCTGACCCGTAATTGCCTTCAGAAGATTTGGAGGTGGAAAAATTGGTGGCATAAGCAATTTTGTGGTCTACTGGATGCACTTTATGTTGACTAAATTCCTGGTAAGTTATTATTTGGCCCTACATAAGAGTACACATTTGTTTTGAGTAGTTTTCTTCCCTCTCCTGTCTAAGCTTGTGTGACTCCTACTTGGCTGGTTGGAACTCATTTACTGCTTCAATCATCTCTTCTATGTAATACTTTGCTTAGATCTTTGGAAAGGGAATCCACATTCTATTACTTGTACCAAGCCACAAAATCTTTAGTTTCAGTACCCTCAGGCTATTTCCCAGGGATATAGAATGACCTTGAACCCAAAAGAGGTAGCAGAAGTGAATCAACTATTTTTTCATTTCTCTCTAAAAGTGGCTTTGTACCACCCACCCCACCATGACCCCTAAATATTATAATCAACACTTGATTAAGCATGGTGTTATGGCTAGAGGACAGGGTTTGGAGTCAGAAGTCCTGGGTTCAAGTCTTGGTTCTTCTTTAATACATTTACGACCATGAGCCAGCAATTTAACCTTTCTGTGGTCACTTCTGGCTGTAAATTTAAAGAGTATTGAACTTGTAGTCACAGGACCTGAGTTTGAAATCTGACTCTGCCACTGAATGACCTTGGGCAAGTCACTCAACCTCTTTGTGACTCAGTTTTTCCTTTTTAAATGATGGGATTGGAGTAGATGACCTCCAAGGTCTTTTCCCAACTCTAGGACTATAGGCTTGTGATTTGGTGGCCCTGTGTAAACAGGGTTGAAAGCAGCTTATGGCTACCCCTCCTAGTAGTCTGCAGGCTCACCAATTTTCCAAAAGTGGGACTGAACTGCCCAAAATATAGGGTTGGCTCTTTCCAAATATCCCACCCAACACCATGCCAAGAGGCTGTAGAGCAAAGTTCCCAGAGCCCATAGGAATCTGGTCAATAAACATGACTCACAGACACAGTGCGGAAGGCGGGATGTCCAGATGGGTGTTCCTGTCTCTCGGCTGTAGCAGGTCAGGAGGGAACTTCCTTCAAGAACAAAGCCGGCGTTGCACGTGTATTGGATGGTTGTTCCAACAAGGAGCACAGGATCCGAAATCAAACGAGTTGAATGGTCCACTTCTCCAGGGTCCGTGCAGTACATAACTGACAAGAAAAACCGCAGACACACAGGCTATCCAGGGCCTTATCACCCAATTCAGGTGGATTCGATTTATTTTCAGAAACACTAGTAAGCACCTACTATGCACCAGGAACTGGACTACATATTGCAGACAAAAATGAAATGTTTCTTGCCCTCAAGGAGATTACATTTCACTGAATGTATTGTACAGGGTCTTTTAAGGCCAGAAGGGGGAAATCAGTGGATTTTTAAAGGATAGGAGGAATTTGTGGCTTTTAGTGCTCTTCAAGGTATTTTAATCAGATTTTGAGTGAATTTTTATCCCTATGTAAAATTTCAACTGGCGCTTTCAACTCCCCTCCCCTCCCTTACCTTCTCCTCTCCTCTCCCCTCCCTCCTCTCCCTCCCCTCTCTCCCCTCCTCTCCTCTCCTCTCCTCTCCCCTCCTCTCCCTCCTCTCCCTCCCCTCCCCTCCTCTCCTCTCCTCTCCCCTCCTCTCCCCTCCCCTCCTCTCCCCTCCCCTCCTCTCCCCTCCCCTCCTCTCCCCTCCTCTCCTCTCCTCTCCTCTCCCCTCCTCTCCCCTCCTCTCCCCTCCTCTCCTCTCCTCTCCTCTCCTCTCCTCTCCTCTCCCTCCTCTCCTCTCCCCTCCTCTCCCCCCCCCTCCTCCTCCCCTCCCCTCCTCCTCCCCTCCTCTCCCCTCCCCTCCCCTCCTCTCCTCTCCTCTCCCTCCCTCCCCTCCTCCCCCCTCTCTCCCTCCCCTCCCTCCTCTCCTCTCCTCTCCCCTCCCCTCCTCTCCTCTCCCTCCCCTCCCCTCCCTCCCCTCCCTCCCTCCCTCCCCTCCTCTCCTCTCCTCTCCTCTCCCCTCCTCTCCTCTCCCCTCCCCTCCCTCCCTCCCCTCCTCCCCTCCTCTCCCTCCCCTCCTCTCCCTCCCCTCCTCTCCCTCCCTCCTCTCCCCTCCCTCCTCTCCCCTCCCCTCCTCTCCTCTCCTCTCCTCTCCTCTCCTCTCCTCTCCTCTCCTCTCCTCTCCTCTCCTCTCCTTCCTCTCCTCTCCTCTCCTCTCCTCTCCTCTCCTCTCCTCTCCTCTCCCTCCTCCCTCTCTCCTCTCCCCTCCTCTCCCCCTCCCCTCCTCTCCCTCCCCTCCTCTCCCTCCCCTCCTCTCCCTCCCCTCCTCTCCCTCCTCTCCTCTCCTCTCCTCTCCCCTCCTCTCCTCTCCTCTCCTCTCCTCTCCTCTCCTCTCCTCTCCTCTCCTCTCCTCTCCTCTCCTCTCCCTCCTCCCCTCCCTCCTCCTCTCCTCTCCCCCTCTCCTCTCCTCCCCTCTCCTTCCCTCCCTTTCTTTTCTTTATCTCTGCTTCTGTCTCTGTCTCTCTCTTTCCTCCCAGCTAAATATAGAACAGGGTTAGGAGAAAGGAATAGACTATGGGTCCTTAGGGTCCCTAAGTATTTGTTTTTCTCAGGCACTTTCATCAAAGTATTTTTATAAGTAAATCTCTGAGCTATAATTAAGGAAAGTTGACTGAGGCCTTGGTGCAGGGTGTTGAAATCTGGTGTTGATGATAATATCATTCTAAGGAATACTTCTTCCCCTCAGTCTCTGGGTCCTTCTCCTCCTCAGGAACATCCAGATTTTCATCAACGTCCAAACCTCTTGATGCTCCTCTCCATGCCCACATGAGTTCCCTTCCCCCCACCCCCAGCCTACTGTCCTGTCCTACTCTCACCTCAAGCATGAAAATTCTTCGTTATAATTCTGGTATATCTGATTTTTCCAGGAAAAAATCTCAAAATTGCCTAGTTTTGACATATATACACATGTTCAAGAATTAGATTAGTTACATATCCTATTTCTATTCCCATATGAGGTAGTGTTGTATAGTGAATAGAGAGCCAGACTTGGGGTTAGAAAAGACCTGAGTTGTTGTCTTGACTTGGACACGTATTGGTTATGTGACCCTGGGCAAGTCATTTGACATCTCTTTACGTCTTCTGTTTCTCACTGAGATGAGAAGTTCCAGATAAATGATTAATCTTGAACAATAGAGGAAGTTTATAGACCATATGCTTCCCACACTGATGAAATCACAGGTCTAGACAAAAAATACCAGAAATACTTGCACAAATATGCACATGTATGTCAGTAATGGTCAAATGAAGGCTCACAAAGGACATTATACTATTTCTTTTCCTTGCTAAGTTAGAACAGGCTGGTGGTGGGGAACACAGGGCTGGATTTTTTATATTTATATTTATGTATACACGCATGTATGTATGTCTGCATATATGTGTATATGCAAATATATTATACATATACCTCTATGTACATATACACATATATGCATATGTATAATCAAGATATAGTCAGTAATATGTATTCATATTTAAGAAGAGATCTTGTTACAATTTTTATCATACTAATGAAAATGGTAAAAATATTTTTACAGACCTTTTAGTTTTCCTATATTTTAGGTAGATTGGGCCTATTAAATGTCTCTGGTGGAGGATGCCAAATGCATTCTATTTGAAAAGCCAAAAGCTTCTGAGAAGATAGCACAGTCCCTGATTTTCCTCCTACTAGTTAGGCAACCAATCAATAAATATTTATTAAGTGTTATGTATCTATATGCTAGATAATCCCTTCTCTACCTCTTCCAATGGCTCATTGGCGCATTCTGTCTCAGCATCTGGGCTTCTGGGGAGGGGGAGAGGAGAGAAGAGGGGAGAGAGAGAAGGAGAGGGAGAGGGAGGGGAGGGGAGGGGGAAAGAAGGAGAGAGGGAGGGGGAAAGAGAGAGAGAAGAGAAGAGAAGAGAAGAGGAGAAGAGAAAAAGGAGAGAAGAGGAGTAAGAGAGAGACACGCACAGAGGGAGAGGGAAAGTGATAGATAGTGACAGATATTAGCTCAACATAAAGATGAATGTTCTAACAAAGAGCTATCTGAAAGCACAATGGGCTGCCTTGATAAGTAGTGAGCTCTCTCTCATTGTAGACTTTCAAGCATTAAGTGAGATGACTACTTGTAGGGGTTGGTGTAGAAGGGATTCCTGTTCAGCCACAGGTTAGAACTGATGACCTCTGGGGTCTCTTCCAACTCTAATTCCATGACAACACGTGATGTCCTAGACAGGAAGCCTAAGAAGTGTCCTTTCTATCTTGTCTTCCTGCTCAGCCTCAGGAACCCAAAGATTCATTGGTGTCCCACTCGGGGCCACATCAAGACAGTTTGAGTGTCCCATCACTAAACTAATTTTACTACATCTAGATCCCCAAACTCCAATACAGGGTCTAGCTACAACCACCCCCATTATTGACCCAGGGGAAAACCTGAGATTTGTCTTACTTTTCTCACAAAATGGTGGATCACTGCTCCATGTCAGGTCCCACTGGCAAGTAAGGGTATCACTGCCCACGATATCATAGCCAGGGTCACATTGGTAGGTGATCTTCGCCCCTCTCACCAGCTCTGTGTGAGATGTGGTTTTCCAGCCATTCTGAATCTCAGGCAGATCTGAGCAGGAGTCATTCCTTGACACCTCTTTAAAAGAAAGACACAAATAAATAACTTCAACTAGATATATGCCTCATTTAATAATGATGTTAATAAAAGCTGACATTTGTATATCACTTTAAGGCTTGTAAAATACTTTAAAGTGCTATCTCATTGGAACTTCATCAAAATCCTCATGAAGCCAGCACTATTGGCATCATTACCTCCATTTGTTCTTCCAATGTTACCTTGCATTTGCTTTGTATGGGTGTTGGCAATGCCTATGCATGTGCACTGCTATCTTCTTCAATAGAATGCAAGCTCCTTGAGGGCAGAGACTGGTTCACTTTTGTCATTGCATCTCCAGTGCCTAGCATAGTACCTGGAACACTGTAGCCCCTTAATAAATGTTTGTTGATTAACTAAATTGATTAGGGCAATTGACACTCAGAGAGGTTAAGTGACTTGCCTGTGATCACACAATTAGTAAAAAATCAGAGGCAGGATTTCCTCCCCTGGGTTGGGGAATCCAGAGAAATTGGAAGAAGGAGGATAAATCACATATCTGGAGACTGAAGGGACCTTAGAGACTAATCCTCACATTTTACAGATGAAGAGACCAAGGCCCATGACCTACCCAAGGTCACACAGTGAGTAAAAGTTAGAGGTGGAATTTGAATCTCTCTTCCAGTTCTTAGAAATAGCTACTCTTTTTCTCTCTCAAGTACCCTTGAAGTTTCAACAGTGCAATTCCAATAGTTTTATTATACCTTTCTTCCATTCTATGCCATACGCCTTAATTTATTTAACAAACAATTATTAAGTCAATGTGGCATCACAAAACTATTAGGTAGCATTTATATAGTCCTTTACAATTTGAAAAGCACTTTACAAAAATCTTATTTTCTCCTTACAATAACCTTGCAAGGTAGATGCTATTTTTATTTCCATTTTACAGAGAGTTAAGTGACTTGGCCAGGGTCATATAGCTAGTAAGTAACTGATGTCAGATTTGAATTCAGGTCTTCCTGACTCCAGGTCCAGTTCTCTATCCTTTGTACCTCTTAGCTTCTCTCTCTATTTTAGGTGTACATGTTGCCTCTCCCTATAGAGTTTGAACTCCTTGAGGGCCAGAGCTACTTTTGATTATTCTTCATATCCTCATTTCTTAACTTAGTGTCTGGCCCATAATAGGTACTTAATAAATTCTTGCTGACTAATTGATTGAATGAATTGAATCGAATCTTTGGTACTCTAAGGGTTCTATTGATTTAGAAATTTCCTCCAAGTCCACAGGTCACAAGCCATCTGTGCCTTCCCACACTGTAGAAATCTCCATGTTTTCCTATTAGTTTCTTAGGGGTATGTAGATGTGTTAGGGAGGTCCTCAGATTTTCTTGGCAAAACATGGACACCAATAGAACATGAAGACTATCCATCGGTCATCCTTCACTTTAGCCACAGGATTAGTTTCTTGTTTTTCTGGTCGTGATTTTTTATATCCACGTTCATAACAATTCTCCTGGGTGATCCCTTATCTATAATGTATCACAGCCCTCCCAGTTGCAAATTTTATAGCACTGTATAAATTTGAATTGTTATTATCAATGCTATTGTTTCCAAACATGTTGCCTGAAATAGAACTCACTCTTCCTCGTGTGGTGGTCTGACCAGAGCTGAGAAAAGGGGAACTAGGGCTTTCTGGCAGCTGGATGTCAGTCTCCTTACTCCACTGGCATCACACAGCCAACTAGGTGGGTAGTGGCTAGGGAACTAGATCTGGAGTCAGATGCATTGTTGTTGTTCAGTCATCTTTCCACTGTGTCTGACTCTCCGTGACCCCATGTGGGGTTTTCTTGGCAGAGAGACTGGAGCGGCTTGCCATTTCCTTCTCCGGCTCATTTGACAGATAAGGAAACTGAGGCAGACAGGGTTAAGCCAGATTTGAAATCAGGAAGATGAATCTTCTTGATGCTCTATCCACTATGCCACCTTGCTACCCTGGCCTGAGTTCAAACCTGGCCTCAGACATTTATTAGCTGTGTGACCTTGGGCAAGTCACTTAGCCTCTGTTTGCCTCATTTTCCTCATCTGAAAAATGGGGATAATAATTGTACCTTACTCCCAGAGTTGTTGTGAGGATAAAATCCTAGTTATTGTTGTTATTGCTGTTATTAGTAGTAGTGGATAGAGTGCTATCCTTCAGATAAGGAAGACGTGACTTTAAAGTCCACTTTAGATACTTACTAACTTCGTGATCCTAGGCAAGTCACTTAACTGCTCTATACCTCAGTTTTCTCCTCTGTAAAATGAGGGGGTTGGTTTTAGCAATGGCCTCTGAGGTCCCTTCCAGTTCTAAATCTATGATCTAATCCTCCAGCCTACTATAAATTTCATTAGATTTCATTTGAAATATTTTCTTGATTCATAATGGAGTCCCTCGAGTTAAGCTTCTTACTCTCCCATTGGTGCCACCCCACCCCTCCCCCCCAGTCACCTGCCTTCCCTTGCCCCCCTGCCCTGTTAGGTAAGTAACAATGCCATGTGTTAGCATGGCTATCCTGCTCACAAATGCCCACCATGCAGCTTCAGGAAGGAGAGCTAATTATGACATGTAATTAATTTGCCATCCTTATGTGCTTCTGGGGAGACAGGGAGAGCAGAATGCCCTGGCTTATTTGCTGGAAGGTAATTCTAAGAAAAAAGCAATGGCTTTTCCTGGGATTTCATCATAGTTTTAACTGGAAAAAGCAATCTGTTGGGTGTCTGAGAAGAGAAGGGACAGGAAAATGAATTCTAAAATGACTTGATGGGGAATGGGAAACCCTATTTTTATTCCTCTTAAAAACTCCGAGAGAGCTCTGGATTGGAGGTTGTAAAGTGTTCACTGTCTGGGTGAAAATAGTGGAACAATTCAGTTAGATATCTGGGATGGCCTGGGTCCTGGAGCTGACTCACTCACCAATAAGTTACATGACCGTGGGTGAGTCATTTCCATTCTCTGGACCAAAGTTTCTCCATCTGGGATAAAGGGAGGGGCATTAAGCTCTAGTGGGAAGAGCCCTGAATCTGGGGTCCAAAGACCTGGGTTTTAATACTAGCTCTAGTACTTATTACCAAGTGACCTCAGGAACAGAGTTGTAACTGGGGCACTGTGGTTTGGTCCCAGAGAGCTAAATTTAGATGGTACTGAGGGCCCTTTCAAGTCTTTCAGCAGGAGAGAAATAATGGAGTTGGTGAGAATATTTAGTTCAAATAGATCTATAGGCACAGACCAAGGGGACTTCTCCTTAGCTTAGTTCACTCTGCTTCCTAATAGTATCTGCTTGGGCAATCAGCCTTTCTGGGACTCACGTTCCTCTTCTGTAAAATGAAGGTGGGCAGCTAGGTGGGGCTATAGTGGATAGAGCATCAGGGTGGGCAGCTAGGTGGCACAGTGAATAGAGTACTGGCCCTGAAGTCAGGAGGACCTGAGTTCGAATCTGGCCTCAGACCAAACACTTGACACTTACTAGCTGTGTGACCCTGGGCAAGTCACTTAACCCCAGTTGCCTCAAAAAAGAGATAGAGCATCAGATCTGGAGTCAGGAAGATGGCCTCAGACATTTACTAGCTGTGTGATCCCGGGGAAGTCACTTCACCCTGTTTGCCTCAGTTTCCTTCATGACCCAAATGGGGTCATGAAGAGTTGGACATGACTGAACAACAAGTATAGTATAGTGAATAGCTGGGTTTGAATTTTACCTTTGACATTTATTAGCTGTGTGACTCTGGGCAAGTTATTTAACCTCTGTGGGACTCATGAGCTTCCTCATTTATAAAATGAGAGATTGGCCTGGATGGTTCCTCAGGTCCTTTCCAGTTCTAAATCAATAACCTTGAATCTACGGCCTCTAAAGTCCAAATCTGGGAGCCTCTGAAAAGTCTCCCAACTCCCTTTTGGAGCTATATTCCAGGTGTTTGGAGAAGGCAAAGATGTCATACAAGCGCATCCTTTCCAAAACCCACTAAGCCTCGGGAAATCTGCTTGGTATTGGCCTTGGGGGGGTGACCCTTGACCTGGGCTTTCTCAAGAGGCTAGCAAACCTCACTGGTGGTCACTTGGAATCTCAGAGATCTCAGGTGGTATGAGGCCCAGGACATAGCCTCTCCTCCCAGTGCCTGGGAGGAGCCTTGTATCAGGGTTCCCAAGGTCAGGCAGGAATACTCTGCAGTTTACTTTGAGAGAGAAGAGCCTTCTGGCATGGAGTTGTTCCCCAGAGACATCCTTGCCCTTCTGGGTCCCTCTTCTTTCTGTGCTTTTTTCTCTGTCATGGCATATGCATTTGCTCGTTGAAACCCTTGCTGAAAATGCTGATCTGGCCAAACAATTTCTCTCTGCAGGCTGGGATTTGGCAACGGCTGAGAATTTACAAAGTCCAGGGAATTTACTTTTGCTTAAAGTCTACTTTGAACAGGCCCCCAAAGTATTGAGCTATCAAATAATAGCAATAATTCATTGTCTTTTGCCTTTGCATTCTCAGTGCTTAGTACAGTGACTAGCCCATAGTAGGACTTGTATGTACCTGGTCGTTTACATGGTCTCCCCCATTAGACTGTGATCTCCTCAAGGGTAGGGGCTGTCTTTATCTTTCTTTGCATTCTCAGTGCTTAGTACCGTGACTAGCACATAGTAGGACTTGTATGTACCTGGTCGTTTACATGGTCTCCCCCATTAGACTGTGATCTCCTCAAGGGTAGGGGCTGTCTTTAACTTTCTTTGTATCCTCAGCACTTGTATCTGGAGCACAGTAGGCGTTTAATAAATGCTTGTTGACTGAATGACTGACATTTAGCTAGTACTTTTAGGGTTACAAAATATTCTCTTCACAACCTGTCATCATGGGAAGTTGGGAGAGGAAATACTTTCCCTTTTACCCCACTTTTCAGATGAGGATATTGAAGCTCAAAAATCACATGATCAGATCCGCCCAGGTTCACATAACAAGGTTCATGGCTGAGACTTGAACCCAGATCTGTTGACTGCAAGTCCAACACTGTGTCCTCTAGGCCAGACTGCCTCCCTTTGGAAAATGCTGTGTGATTTCTCCCTCTCTCCTTTCCTTCTTTCCTTCCTGCTTTTCCTCTTCCTTCCCTTTTATCTCTGGTGATGCATGGTAGGTAGAAAGCAAGAAGCAATAAAGGGTGCCCATGACTAATGGAACCCCAGGACAGTACATGGAATGTAGTAATGGAATCCCAGGAGGGTCATGTTGGCATAAGTGGGAACAGTCCTGGGATAATCTACTCTGATTAGCACCTTCTAGAGCAGACATACACTGGGCATGGGGAACCTGTATGTGTCCTCTCTTGCAGTCAGATTCAGGGATTCGCGTCAGTCCATGATCCTCAGGTCTGTCCTGGTTTGCCATAGAGCGACCTGGTCCCCTCCATTCCCACTGGAGGGAAAGGAGAGGAACACATGTCTCAGAATTAGACACTTAAGTCTGCACTGGCTAATGTCGGCAGAAACAAGAACAAACAGAAAAATACAACATTTATAGAGAACAGTGGATGAAGGGTTTGACTTGGTATCAGGAAGGCCTGATGCTTACGAGTTGTGTGACCCTAGACAAGTCACTTACCCTCTATCTGTCTCACTTTCCTCAACTGTAAAATGGGGGTAATAATAGCACCTCCCTCCCAGGGTTGTTGTGGGGATCGAATGAGATAATTACAAAGAGCTTAGCACGGTGCCTGGCACACAGTAGGTGCTACATAAATGTAAGCTGCTATTTACTTTTTAAAATATCAGCTATTATTATTAGTAGTAGCATGGAATAATGAATAGAGCACTGGCCTTGAAGTCACAAAGTCTTGGGTTGGAATCCTGTCTTAGGCACTCGTATAACTAAGTGTGAGAAATGTCTCCCCTCATAACCTCAGTTGCCTCATTTATAAAGGGCAATTAGACTGAGAAAGTACACCACAAACTTAAAAATACTATAAAAACATGATGTATTATTATTGCTACATAAACAACATAAAAGTTGAATGATTAAAAAACCTTGTGAGGAAAAAAGGCTTGTGGGGAAGCCCTACACAGAAAAGCAGAGCAAGCATTGTTATTTTTTCGCAATACTGAACATTAACCAGGCATTTCTGACTGATATTTACATTAGCCAGCTAATGTTGACATTAGACAGAGTGTGGAATGTAACCCCAATGAGAATCTTTCCTATTCATGTGATACTTTCCTCATAACAACCCTGAGAGGTTAAGTGATGCTTGTATTAATTATTCCCACTTTTCAAGGGAGGAATGTAAATCTCGTAAAATAAGATAATCTGTCCAAGGTCTCACAGACAGTGAACAATGGAGCCAAGAATGATTCCAAGCTCAGTATTCCTTCCACTATGCTGCTTCTGACTATGATCAAACTACAGAACCATGTTTTTCAATGATGATCATCCTAGAGAGAAAATTCTGTTGATTCAAGTAAGCCCATTTAAAGAAACAGTTTGAGTTATCTCTTGTTTCAAGGGACCGTCATGCCAGTTAGGCTGGTCATGTACAAACATGGCCCCCAATTTAGGAACCATCGTGGAACAAAAAGACCATTGGATTAAGAATCAGAATACTTGGGTTTAATTTCAGGCTCTATTGCTTTTTAGCTGTGTGACCTTGGGCAAGTCACTTCTGTAATAAAAAAAAAACCAACAAGGGAGGCTAGATTTGTTCATTTCTAAGGTCTTTTCCAACTCTAAAATGAATTGAATAACGATGTAGAAAACTATTGTGGGCATTTCAACCAAACAACCAATAATGACTGCCCTTCTTCACAAGATTTGGTATTACTCACTCTGGGCACCCCTGACAGAGAACTTGTGGGGAAGCCCTATGTAGAAAGGCAGAGAGCAAGAGCCTAGAGAATAGGAGTAAAGAGGCCCCAGAGAAATATAAACAAGGACTTCAAAAGCAATCAATTGCCATGTTCTTCTCTCTGAGGGGAGGGCAGACCATTGGTAAGAATGAATCATAATTGCTGGCCTGGAAAAAGGCAAGCCAGGCATGGAGACTTCTTGGTGTGCTGAGATTTTGGTAAAGACACCCTTGATCATACTGCCTGAGATAATGCTCTCTAAGCAATTTCATTTAGAGGGGATCCCACTTCCTTCATGCCAATGAGATCCCCAGAAAGACATGGGAGCTGAAGAAGGAATGGATTATACATCTCAACAATTGATTCAGTCAGAACAAATGTTTATTAAGCACTTACTATGTGCTAGGCACTAAAGATATAAAAAAGGCAAAAACAGGCTCTTTCCAGGATCACACAGCCAATAAGTGACCTTGGTGGGATTTGAACACACATTTTCTGACTCCAAGCTCAGCACCCAATCCACTAAGTCACATTGCCTCTTTTAAAAAAGTAACAAAAACATACTTAGCTGTTTTTCTTTAATGCTTCTCCCTACCTTCCCAATAGAAACCTCCTTTTTATCAAAGAGATACAGTGAAGACAAAAATCAGCCCACTGGCCCTGTCTGAACACTATATGCCCCATTCCCCACATGTGGTCCACCACCTTCCTAGGGGTAGTATGTTTTCCTGGTGATTCTCCTAACATCCTCCCCTGCTGTTGAGCTGCCTCTCTTAATTTACTTGTACACATCACAGTATGAAAATCCAGGTATATTAGGGCTAGCAGTCCCAAGAATGACTGTGCCCAGAAGAAGTGACAATGAGACTGACTTAATGGGATACTTACCTATGTAGCTCATGACAAACCCTTGGCCCTTTCCAAAGATGAGGCCGGCGGGATCCGAGTGGAACTGGATGGTGAGGTCTGGGCTAGAGGAGTAGAGCTTCTGAGGTCCACTATTGCCCAGGTACTGCCCGAGGATATGGGACATGACCTCATCCCCATCGTAGATGGTCAGGATGTCACTGTTGCTCAGGTTTAAGCTGGGAAGGCAAAAGGACATGGGATGTATGTGTATTGGTGTGAATGGAAAGCAGTCTCAAGTAATGATGCAGTCATTTTAGAAACCATTTATTGAACACCCACTATGTGCAAGGCTAAACACAATTTTGGACCTTGGGAAACTTGCAGATTAGCAGGGGATCTAAGATGAACCTATTATCTAGAACATTACCTACAACACATTACCTAGAATGATGGTGATAATAACATTCATATGGCATTTTAAGGTTTGCAAAGTACTTAACATATGTTATCTCATTTGATCCTCACAACAACCCTGGGAGGTATCACCCCCATTTTGCAGATGAGGAAACTGAGGCAGACAGAGGTGAAATGACTTGTCAAGGTCACACAGCTAGTAAGTGTCTGAGGCAGGATATGAGCTTGGGTCTTTCTCATTCCAAGTCCATTGCACCACTCAGCAGGATGTGATCATTTTCTATAAGAGGCACACACAAGCTTGGGACTGGATTCAATCCAGCAATCAGTCAACAAACAAAGTAATTTTCAAGAGACTGCTATGTATTGGCTTCTGATATGATCAAAGGGTCTTTGGTGCTAGCTGAGCTAATTTTACCTGGAAGCTGGGTTACCTGGGCTCTGCCACTGATTCATTGGGTTTGCCTCAGACAAGTCCCTTAACCTTAATACTGTGGGAGAAAGCTGGAGGGCACCGATGTCACCTGAAGGGGCATAGACATCACTGGATCTAGGCTCCACATTTTGCAGAAACTGAGGCCCACAGAAAGGAAGAGACTTGATTAAACCTACCCGATGAATTATCAGCACAGTCAAGACTTGAATTCAGGTCTCCCTTAGCTTGAAGTTCAAGGCTCTTCCATTATGTAATTATTGTCATCACCACTACCACCATCATCATCATGACATTTCTATAGTGCAATGTACTTTATATACATTATCTCATTTGATTCTCAAAGCAATCTTGTGAGGTGGAGCTATTAATAAAATTAATCAATAAAATGAATACTAGTAAAATAACATTTTACAGATCAGTAAACTGAGGGTCAGAGAAGATATCTGCCCATGGTCATACAACCGATAATTTCCTAAAGAAGGCTTCAAATCCTGGTCTTTCTGACTCTAAGACCAACCCTTTGTCTTGGTGACTGTGATTAATTAATGTTGTTGACAGAAGAAGACAAACTTATGATGATCTTGGGAAATTGGAAAATTTGGTAGTAATGGAAAGTATGACATATGAGGCTTGCATTAAATATGGAATTAAATTATTCAAGGATTTAAAGGAAACTCCACACATATGAGATTGAGGAGGGCATTAACTGTGCCAAGAATGTCTAAAAAACCTGCAGGTTACAGTGGACCACAAAGCTAAAATTGAAAAGAACAATGACTTTTAGCTCCTTCACAAGACCTGAGTACAAATCCTAGTTTTGGGACCTTGGCCAAGTCACTTCCTCTTTTTGGGACCCAGTTTCCTCATTTATAAAAGGAACCACAAGGTCCCTTATAGTTCTAAATCTCTGATCCAAAGTTCTATATGGGGAATGGCAAGAATATCAGTTTGACTGAAACAGACTGTTCAAGGTAGAGAAGCCTGGAATCAGGCTGGATCCAGGCAGCGAATGACCTCAAGTGACAAATAGAGGAATTCATATTTTATCCTGGAGGCAAAAGGGAGCCATTGAGACTCCTTGAGCTGGGGAGTGTACTTTGGTTTCTACTGCCCTGTCTCAATGAAGCACCACTAATTACCTGGTGGTAGTTACTGTAGGTGACAAGGAATAGCAAGGAGTCATTAAAAGGCCTTCACTAAAGTCTCTGAAACCTAACTCCTTTTGAAATGATAGGAACAGTTTTATGTCATTAGCTACACCTGCTCTTTCATTGGATATGAAATCAGGAATCCTGAATTTGAGCCCAGGCTCAATCACTGACCAGCCATGCAACCTTGGGCAAGTCACTTTACCTCTATCTGCCTCAGTTTCCTCAACTGTAAAATGAGGATAATAATAGTGCTTACCTCCCAGAGTTGTTGTGAGGATCAAATGAGATAATATTTGCACAATTCCTAGTTCGAAATGTGTTTCCTTCCTTCTTGACATGACTTCTCCATCCAGTCCTAATCAAATCTACCCTCTAGTACTTCCCATTCATTTCAGCAAATCAAGTGCACCTGCTTTCCCATTTTCTAAGACATTCCCTCAAAATTATCCTGCTGACATCTCATGCCAGACATTAGCAGAAAATAAACCTCTACCCCCTGGCCAATCCCCTCTGCTGTTCCTTCTCCCAGAGAGCACACAGGTTAGCTCTGCTCCAAGTCAGAGGTACTGTCTGGACACACTGCACCAAATGAACTTAGGTGGGGGAGGGGAAAGATATGAGATCTGGGAGTGAGAAGATCTCTGGGTTCTTGTTGTAGCTCTGCCATCCACCTGCTGTTTGATCTTGAGAAACTCATTTCCTTATTCTGTGACTCAGTTTCCTCATCTTGAAAATGAAGGTGTTGGAGAAGATGATCTCTAAGGTTCATCCCAATTCTGACATTTTCTTTTCTAAGGAAGCTCCCCGCCTCTGGCACACTATGTTGTAGCTCTTACTTTCTTCTTCCAATTCTGACATTTTATGCTCTATATTCTAATGTCCTTCCACCTCTGACACACTGTTCTATGAGCCCTTCCAGCTCCACCATTCAATGTTTGAAGCTCTCCTAGTTCTGACAATCTCTATCCTAAGACTCCTTCCTTCATGCAATAGACTCTTAATTGCATCATCTAAGATTTTGATATTGTTGACAAACACACACATAACAGAGTTTCAACTACTTAGATTATACAATACCTACTCTTGGGCCCCATGGAATAAAATATAACAATCACTATCATACTCTCAATTTTCCACATTTGTATAATCTGCAGCAAATTTTTCCTCCTCTATTGTCTTCATCTCTATAGCTCAGGAGATCTGATTACTGCCCATCTTCACACTTACGAGCTGTGAATTGCACCAGGGAGAGCAACGTAAAAAGAAGAAAGACTCCTAAGCGCATAATGGGGACCTCAATTGCTCACTTGGCTATTTCTCCAACTATAGATTTCCTTTCCTTTTCCCCCTCTCTGGGTTGCCAAAGGTCATTTTTACTGCCTAAGGCCCAGTTTGTTTAAACCTTTGCTCAGCTGATAACTAGGTTGCTTGTCATTTTGACTTTTTTGTTATGTACTCCATCTAAAAGTCTTAACCAATCAATTAGTCAATCAATCATTAAGTGGCAACCACGCACTGTACTGAGTGGTGTGGATACAAAAAGAAGCAAAACACAGTCCCTGCCTTCAATGGCCTTGTTGTTGTTCAGTCATTTTCAGTCTTGTCCGACTCTCTGTGGCTCCATTTGGGGTTTTCTTGGCAGAGACACTGGAGTGGTTTGCCATCTCCTTCTCCAGTTCATTTTTTAACAAGTGAAGAAATAGAGGCAAATAGGGTGAAGTGACTTGCTCAGGGTCACACAGCTAGTAAGAATTTGAGGCCAGATTTGCACTCAAGAAGATGAGTCTTCCTGATTCCAGGCCAGGCACTCTATCCACTGTACTACCTAGCAGTATTACCTCCACATTATACATGAGCAAACTTGTGCAGATTTGCCCCAGTGATTTGCCCAAAGTAACATAGCTAGCAAGTCTTGAACTTACTAGCACGTGAATTTGGGTCTCCAGGTTCAACACTCTTATTTCTGTGTCACATTGCCTCGAAATACATGTCATAACTAGAACGGCTGAAGATCAAATGCAGGGATTGGCTGAAATGAGAACCCAATAAATGTGTTTGTTCTTTGAGTAAAGAAACTCATTCTTTGTTGTTGATTTCAGCCAGACCTATGATTTCACTTGCTCAGGGAACTCCATGATGAGAGACTTTATTCAAGTAATGCATACCCACAACTTCTCTATAATTTCCTACAATCTTCTACAATGACTTACCCAAGGTCACGCAGGGAGTAAACAATTCTGTAAATGGTGCACTAGATGTATAACAACTGGGATTTGAACCCAGTCCTCTGATTCCTAGCCTGCAGTTCTTTCTCCTGTATTCTGTACCTTGAGGGGGTTAGGAATCAATATTAGGGATGCAGCGTGGTGCAGTTTTGGAATCAGAGGACCTGGGTTCCAGTCCTGGTGCTGCCATCTATGCCCTGTGTGACCTTGGGCAAGTCACATCACATCGCTTGGCCTCAACTTTCTTTCCTGAAAAATGAGAGAGTTGGACTGAGTGCCTTCTACCCCTCCTCCCAGCTGCAGATTTATGGTCCTAAGTTAGAAATTCAGGGCAGCTGGGTGGTGCAGTAGATAGAGCACCGGCTCTGGATTCAGGAGGACCTGAGTTCAAATATGGCCTCAGACACATAACACTAAATAGCTGTGTGACCCTGGGCAAGTCACTTAACCCCATTGCCTAGCCAAAAAAAATTTGTCCTAAGGTAGAAATTCATCAGGACAAACCAAGCACTCAAGGGTCAGTGGACTTTCAATTACCCCAGACTGCCTCGAACTAATCCTGCTGGGGGTAGAACCAAGCAGCAACTTTGGAAAGACTCACCAGAAGGTCCATGGAAAGAGCCCTTGCATTTCTCCTTTGGTTTTGAAATAGTTTTGCACAATCAGGAAAAAATGTGGGAATTGGGTTGGATGAAAAAAGTTATGAAATTAAAAATCCAAATTCTGCAAGGACAGCTTTGCCCCTCCCACCTGCTACCCCAACCACACCTGTCAAGTTCTATGAGCCCATTTCTCTCACCTGGGCCAAACCCAATAAATCAGTCAGCCAATAAACACTTATTAAACTTTTGCTATGTGCCTGGGACTGTGCCAAGCACTGGAGCTGCGCACAAGGATGGTATTTCTTCTGCCAGCAGAGGGCACTGTTCTCCCAGTTATTTTAGACTCAGTTTCCGCCTTGTCTTCGTTCCCTCATCTCAACCCCACAAACACTTCCCTGATCTTGAAGG